GAGAGAGAGAGAGAGAGAGAGAGAGAGAGAGAGAGAGAGAGAGAGAGAGAGAGTTGCTGAGAATGTACAGCATTTCATGTAGATAAGTCTTTGGACTCTGAGGGGTTTTCGAGGAAGGAGATTTCCGCACTTCTTTTACATTTTATTTTCGTTATGAAAATCTGTTTATGATGGAATATGTCTATAAGACATTGTTAACCACTAGTTTTAGAAGGTGTCCTTTGTTTTCTGTTCCCCGAGAGACTGGCGCTGGCTTGCTAAAGACGCCTCTTGTGTGGGTGTTGCTGGGTTTGTGTGACTTGCTTGTCACACTGATATGGCGATCTTCGACCCAACCAGCAGTTGGGAATCGACAAAGAGCAGAGTCGTGGCTTTTCACAATGCTAAGGGTTATTCACTTATTGTTGAAAAGCTGCTGGTTGGCACACTGGCTGTGATGGTAAAGCCATGGCTTTACCTATCAGCGGTTTGATTGGACTGTACGAAGTCATCAAGACGTTTGTGATGCAGAGGTTATCCCAGGATGTGTTGGCTGACGTCTTCGGACAGTACTAATCCTAAGTTTGGACTCCATCTGTGTGCATGTGTTGGGGGGGTTCTGTTAAGCCACCAGTACTTGGCCCAGCCTGTCTCTTATACACATCTAGATGTGTATAAGAGACAGGTGCACTGTTTTGGGGCCTCTATTTCGTGTGATTTTTCTTTCTTTCTTGTGAAATTATGTGTCCATCGGAGCCTGGGTGGTGTGTATACAAGTGATGATAGTTTTGGTGGTGATGCATATCGTGTATGATTTCACGCTTGTCAGGTTTGTAGCTGCTATACCTCATCTCTTTGACTTCTCACGTCACGATTGCGCTGTTTTGGGGGCTCTTTTTTGGGGCTCGTTTGGGACTGTATTCGGGGCCCTATTTGGTTTTCGAGCTCTCTTGAGGGCTTTATATGGTGGGATTTTCCTTGTGAAATTATGTGTCCATTCATTCGAACCTGGCAGGTGTGTATACAGACGATGATGGTTTCGGTAATGATGCGTGCGTAATGTGTTAGGTGTTTGTAGCTACTGCCTCCTATCTTCGACTTCTCAAGTTGCACAGGTTTGGGGGTTCTTTTTTTTTTTTTCCTTTTCTTTTTAAAACAGAACTAAGCAATATTAAGCTGGCTCTTAGTCGTTTTTTTTTTTGTTTTTTTTTTTTTGAATAACAATACTAAGCCGCATTGTGCGGGTCTTGGGGTTCTATTTTCTGTGATTGTCCCTATTTCTCCAGGTACCGGCTGACCGAGCTAGAAGAAGATGAGTAACAGTGGTGGAGTGACCCGCTTCTGTCAATAGGACACAAATAACAGCCGAGTAACCAGAGGAGTGACCTTTTTTTTTTTTTTTTAATTACCCGGTCTTTCTGCTATAGTGGGGATGGTATGTTTTTTTTTTCCTTTTTGTAACCTGGATTTCCTGCTATAGGGGGATATGATTATGATATGAGCATTCTCCCCTTGCAGAGGACTGACTGAGTTGTGTCACGAGGAGACAAATACCGGCAAAGGAAGCAGAGGAGTGACTGACACTCTTCTGTGAAGACGAGAGAGAGGAGACTATTAACAGCAGAGGAGCGACCCACCCACTTCCTTCCGTCAAGAAAAGGAGGCGAATAACAGCAGAGGAGCGGAGGGAGTTAGTACTGTGAAAAGGAGAGTAAGTGAGAAGAGATGGACCGAAAGCCATTACTCGGGGCCCAAGATGCAGACCAGCGGAGTCGGTACGAAGCCTATCCCTATCACAATCCCAATCCAGCAAGCACTCAGAGGTTGTACCCGCCGCCAACGGCGCCTCCCTACCCTGGAGCGGTGGTTAACTATGACCATCGGTATGTCGGGCCTGGCGCCTCGCCACCTCTGCAATTGGTTGCGGGAATACCCTATGTTCCACCGATGGCAGATGATTGCCAGCGTGTGTACATTCCTCCTGACTGGACTTACGGTCTCTGCGATTTCCACACGGACGTTCCCCTCTGCCTACTGACCTGGTTGTTCCCTTGCGTAACCTTCGGTCGCAACGCGGCAGCTATCGACGACGGTGTTACGAGCTGTACGACTGCTGCTGCAGTTTGGTGCCTCCTTCAGTCCTTTTGCGGACTGGCCTGCCTTTATTCTTGGGGCTTCCGGACAAAGTTGCGCAGAAAGTATAATCTTCCGGAAGAGCCGATGCCGGACATTCTCGTCCACTGCTGCTGCATGCATTGTGCTCTGTGTCAGGAGTACAAAGAACTGCGGTATCGAGGCATCGACCCTGAGGGAGGGTGGGGGCCGACGGCCGTCTACGGTGCCCCAACGGCTGCTCCGGGTCAACAAGCGATGGGCGCTAGCCCGTATGGATTCAATGCCCGAGGAGTGTAACTTTCCGAAAGAGCCGACGTTGGAAATCCTTCATTGTCTATTGCTGGCCACTGGCTGGCGCTCTTAGGACCGGACTCCAGAGGGAACCAAGTTCAACCAACAAACCCCGCGGCATTAACGCAGAGGATTGCGCAAGTCTCAAAGGTCTGTATTTGGATTCTTTACAGTTGGTTGCTGTAGAATTCCACTGCCCATGGGCCTAAGGTAATACACCATAGGTGGTGTTGTTTTTTTTGTTTGTTTGGGCCTGAGGTAATTAATACATACAACATAGGGCTTTATATATATATATATAGCTTTTTTAGGTGCATTAGGGTGCTGCTTACAGCGGAGGGATGTTGCAGTGGGTGCTTGTTGCTGCATGTGGGTAAGTGAACACCTGTTTCCTTAGGTTGCGTTCAAAGAATTGGCTCTTCTGGCCAGTGCCAGAGATTCTGGTCCACTTTGTGAATGTCTTTTGATGTGAATATGGACCAGATTCTCTTGCGCTGCGATTGGAGCGAAGGGCATTGTGCTGGCGGTCGTGGTGGTTATGGTCGTGGTGGCGATGGTCGTGGTGGTGGTGGTCAACTACCTACCGTCTGCGCCCAAATAGAACTCCCTGTCGTTATCATGGTATCTAGTCAGAAAACTGCCCCAAATACAGCTATAATCACTGGGTGTTCTATTCGGGAGAAGATGGTAGGTAGTTTACCACCTATACCATCTTATACGCCATCGGCACGGACGGATGGTGAGGTTCAATGGCTGGCTGTGGCCTGCTTGTAGGTTCTAAGGTGCATCGGCAGAGGAGGCATGAAAGTGCGACTAACTAGGGGATACGAGGGGAACCGATATTCCGTGGCAGCTGTTGAGGTTGTGGTTTGTTTTGGATGGCGCGATGGCAGAACTTCAAAAAAACTGTCATCATGGTTTGTTCGTCGCAAACAATGATTTTGGGACCGGCGTGGTTCCGAACGGCTCTGTGGTGAGTCAGGATGTGCATCGCCGTTCCGTTGACTGGGTTTACGTCTACTTACGACATCAGGAGAGACATATTGTCGGTTGCAGCGTGTGCAAGCGTTCACTGCATCAGAGAGTCACAGAGTGGGAGCGGATGTTCGTTGTGTTGCTGCATGCGGTGGCGGAGATTTATCGCAGTGCGGTAGTATGGGTCAGTTGATAGTAGTATGGTCTCGCTCCAGCACTCGCCAAGTGTGCAAAATGAGAACGAATCTCCTGCTAGAACATGGGAAAATGCACTGCCATATTTTTTGTCGTTTGTGCACGTGGTGAGGAGTGGACCGAGGCCCGTAGTCATGCAGTGCAGCAGGCGGTCCTTTATATGAAGTGCCATCTTGAATCCATCTCCTGCTGTGTAGGTGTGTGTGTAGGTGTGTGCCAGCTGGTGGCGACAGGGGGGCGGGGTGCATATGGCTGTCTTATTTTGGGAGGCGGACAACACACAGAGAGAGAGAGAGAGAGAGAGAGAGAGAGAGAGAGAGAGAGAGAGAGAGAGAGAGAGAGAGAGAGAGAGGTTGTTTCAGAAAGGAATTTGTATTGTGTAGGTAGGATTCTTGGAGTGATGATGTTCCTTGTTGTGGATAGACAGATCTCAGATGGATTTGTTGGCGGGGCGTGGATGTGCATTTTGTTGTTTATATAGAGTTATGATTGTTAAAGATCTCTGGAGAGGTGATGAGTTGAGGAGGGAAGCTGGAAGCTAGATACAGTGGAAGTGTTGGGGGACTTTCGAGAAAGAGTTGCAGGTTGTTCTCGAGGGAGAAGAAGTCACTGCAGAGGTTGGTAGGGAGATCAGGGGAGAGAGAGAGAGAGAGAGAGAGAGAGAGAGAGAGAGAGAGAGAGAGAGAGAG